GTCATACGAGACCATCTTTCTTGAATGCCTGAGAAGAACTTGTGTTCAAGTTAAAAAAACCTCTACTTGTGTTTACAGAGGTGATTTAATGCATTGGCGGGTGGCCCGTGTTCAGCTGCCGAATAGCCTGCTACAAGTGGTGGTGCGTCTGCCCAGAGGTTCCAGTCTTTGACACTGTAATACAACATTGTCATCTCCAAAGTTCACACTCAAAAGCCACACAATTTGAATTAAAAAAAATTGTAAAAATTCAGGTTTTAAGTAAGTTTGTTGGGCTTGTTTATCTGTGATGAACATGCCTGCTATCAGAATACTGTTAGCTCTAAAAGGGTGCAGTCATTGATCCGTGTGGCTGTGTAAGCAGAGTCCACATGCAACAGTCACAAGGTTACCAAATCATAAGGATCCATTGTGACAATGGCAAAGGCAAAACTACAGGCATAGAAAATAGTGGAGTCTGCATGAAGTGCAGACTCAAAGGGCTGTGGGCCAACAGGACGTTTTAATTTCTTCACTGCAGCAGTGGTTATTATACTATATGTTTGTCACAGGCAGAACTATACATTGGGAAGAGCTTGTTACATGTAAATATATGGGATTAAAATATCATTAAAACTGTATAGGACTCTGATAGAGACTTCTAAATTTGATGACATCTCAGAATCACCTGGAGGTTTCAAAACAAAAGCAAGAAAATCAATTCCTAGTCCCTATTCATGAACATTTTCATTTTGGTTATCTTCTGAAAATCTTAGATATATTTGGTTATGAATACAAGTTTGTGTGCTTCAAAAGGTATGTCATATTTCAATGTTCTGTATATACCACTGGAAAATATGTAGGAAAAAACATTTCCCTTTCTTTATTCAAGGAATACTCTGGTCCTATAATATGTAGCAGGGTATTTTTTCTTTGTTTTCTATTTTTATCTGTATTTTATGAGTATGAGTGTTTGTCTGTATGCATACCTGTTCACCTTATGAATGCCTGGTGTCCTCAGAGGTCTGAAAAAGGATCTGAACCACCGAGAAGTGGAGTTTCAGTTGTGAGCCACCGTGGAAGATTTTTATCTTATAGATGTAAAGGACTTACAAATGTTAATCATTACTGTAGACGTTGCAAGGAATTAAAAAACAGATAAGGAAAACAATCTTATCTCAAAGGCTCTGACACAGGTTATCAAACCAAATTGTAGCAAAAGTAAAGTTCTAGTAAATACAGCTTAATTTCTGTGAATGCAAAAGGTAATCATTTAGTTGCCCATTTAAGTAAAACTTTAAAGAATATTTTTAAGTTGGGTGTGGTGGCCTGTGCCTGTAGTTTCAGCTACTCAGGAGGCTGAGGTAGGAAGATTGCTTGAGCCTTAGGAGTTTGAGGCCAGCTATGGAAAACCCCAGACTCCATCTCAAATAAATAAATAAACAAACAAAAATAAAAATAAATCTAGCATAGACATCTAGAAGTGTCTTGGTCCAGCAGGGCATTAAACAGGGGGTCTGGGAAGGTCACCTGAAAGACAGTGAGTGGTGGTGGGGAACAGGCAGAGACACGAAAAATGGCAATCTGTGTATAGTCTGATCAAATCGCCATTTTTACTTTTTCACACAGGCAAAAAAGGCAGGATGTGGGGAAGGGGATGACGCAGGAGTGTGGGTATTCAGGGGGAGTACAGATTATCTTCCAGAACAGAGTATCAGCTGTGTGAAGGTTCAGGGGACATGTCACTATGACTCTGACTATGATTCACTTGTCCTTATCTAAGTTGGTACTATCCACCGAGGTTACCTATCTACAAGGTCTATAACTATTCAGCCTGGCAATTTTCCACCAAAACTGCTTGTTTACAAGAGCTTCTAGTCATCTGTTTCAGTGTTTTTCCACAGAGACCTAAGACTTTGTGTTAGCAGGCATATATGTTAGACTATTGCTGATTTTAGGCCTATGGTTGATTTTAGGCCTTCAGTGTATAAGCAGGGCTGCCCCTGACATAGAAACTCAATTTTACAGTGTTTCTTAATGTTACTTTTCAATGAGCTAAGTATTAAGGAATAAGCTCTGAATATAAAATCAAGTTCACATTCAAACATGAATAGAAACACAGGTGACATTTTCACGTGCAGACAAGGTTTACAGATGCTAATTAGGGCCATGGAACTCTTATCAGAACCCAGTGTTAGGTTTTTGAAGATTCTAAATAATTACCCAGAAGATCTTAGCAGAGGCCACTGGGATACTGTTTCTATTGACCACAGCTGGAAACAGCAGATGGAAAAGACAGAGTCTAGGCTACTCATCTTAGGCATCTGGAGGTGGGAGACCCACAGAGAGGCAGCCTTGGGAAGCAGCTGCAGCACTTCCCTAATCTGCACTCTCTCAACTAGTGTGGAGGAGGAGGGACCCTGTTAGGTTACAGACCATCACAGGAGGGATTCTTTTATGTTAAAGGTCACCAGAGATCTAACTGAACTAGTCTTTTCAAGGAAAGGTTCTGGAAGTATAGCCTGTCTGGAAGTTTAGAAACCACCATGAAAGTGAATGTCTTAGTCAGGGTTTCTATTCCTGCACAAAAATCATGATCAAGAAGCAAGTTGGGGAGGAAAGGGTTTATTCAGCTTACACTTCCACATTGCTGTTCATCACAAAAGGAAGTCAGGACTGGAATTCAAGCAGGTCAGAAAGCAGGAGCTGATGCAGAGGCCATGGAGGGATGTTACTTACTAGCTTGTTTCTCCTGGCTTGCTCAGCTTGCTTTCTTATAGAACCCAAGACTACCAGCCCAGGGATGGCAGCACCCACAATGGGCCTACCCTTGATCACTAATTGAGAAAATGCCTTACAGCTGGATCTCATGGAGGCATTTTCTCAACTGAAGCTCCTTTCTCTGTGTTTCTGGGTTTTTTTTTTTTTTTTTTTTTTTTTTTTGGTTTTTCGAGACAGGGTTTCTCTGTGTAGTTCTGGCTGTCCTGGAACTCACTCTGTAGACCAGGCTGGCCTCGAACTCAGAAATCTGCCTGCCTCTGCCTCCCAAGTGCTGGGATTAAAGGGGCGCGCCACCACCGCCCAGCCCCTTTCTCTGTGTTAACTACAGCTTGTATCAAGTTGACACACAAAACCAGCCAGTACAGTGAATTGTAATCTCTCAATCCATAGATTAATTTACGAAAATTTTCAATAAGTATCAGAGTGCCTAACAAAGTCAAGGAGACAGAGCAAACAGTCCCCCAAGGCTGTCTCTCTGCGTGTTTCCCACTTCCAGATGCCTGAAGATGAGTAATGCTGAGAAGAAGATCAGAGGTTGAGCTGCTGAAGTGCTAACAGCAGATTACCTGCCTGGCCTCTCTCTCCCATCTGCTGTTTCCAGCTGAGGTATCCCAGTATCCCAGCAGCCTCTGCTAAGATCATCTAAGTAAATATGTGATGATTAATTGGTTAAGATATCCTGAATTTTTTTCCCAAGACAGATGGTGTGTGGGTGGTACAGTTCTAAAAAGTATTTTAATCTTAAGATCTTAGGTTTTCTATTTTAAAACAAAAGAAACAAATGTTTTCTCAGTAAATTAATCTGTGGTGTTCTGAAAGACAAGCAAAGTAATTATGCTTACTTTACAGCACTATAGAGTGAGTTAATCTTTTGAATGTCTTAGACCATTGCTTCCTGGGTCATGTAGACACATTAACTACAATGATTATTATCCTAGAACATGGACACACAAAATAATTCACCCTGATTGCATTTACATGACTTTTAGGAAACACAAACTCATTTCTTCTGAAGGAAGGCGTGGGAAAGAGCTTTGGAGTTTCTCTCAGCACCTCCCTTCTGACAGTGATGTGTGAGTCCCCTCCCTACATCATGCTCTGGCAGACACTGACCTTCTGACACTAGCCACCTGAAGAGTCTGATCCCACTGGTTAAGGGGTTTAGTTCCACAAGATTGCTTCCTTACTTCAGATGCCAATTTTTAAATAATAGCTTCTTTATAATTTCTGCCAGACAACTGCAAGCCAGTCTCTCAAAACCCCTGCACGGGCTTACTTTTCTAGAGCAGTTCACGGAACTCAGATGTATTACTAGTGTGTATATAAAGGAGGCAGTTGAACAGTGAGACGAAGAGACACACAGGGCAGGGTCTGGAAGGGTCCTGGGTGGGTGCGGGGCGCGGGGCGCGGGGTGCAGGGTGCGGGGTCTGCTTTCGCTGTGGAGCTGTTACTGGCATACAGCCATACTCGCCAAGTTAGAGGTTCTCCCATCCTCAAAATTCAGGGATGTTTTTTGGATTGCTCGATTGTGGGGGCCCCTTTCTCTTTTCCAGAAGATGAGAGGGGATGTAAATCCCAAGTTTCCACTTATGGTTTGGTCTGCAAAATTATCAGTCTCCACCTAGAGACCTATCCAGAGTCAATTTACTAGTCAGAAAGATGATTAGGGACTTTATTGTTTATTAGGGACCGGATATTATAATAAAGGATTCTCCCAGCATCTGTTTCAAGATTTTTGAGCCTAATTTGGGGGAGGCAGAGAGAAAACAACACACACATACACACACACAGACACACAGACACACAGACACACACACGAGGGGTAGAGGGAGGGAATGAATACACAGTTCTTAAAATTGAAATGACTATATTTTATGATATGTAAAGTCTATCCCAAGACCCACAAATACAAAAAGTCCAAAAAGTCTACACCTGAAAAGCCAGCACTTGGGAGGCTGAGGCTTGAAGATTGTGTGTTTGAGGCTATGGAGGGATCTCCAGCAAGATGCCTGGCTTTTGGTATTGAATTCTTAGGGGGCAGGCTAAATAAAAGGTGAATAACAGACTTAAAAAAAATATCTCAAAACAAGTAGCTTAGTGCAAAATGAGGAAATTCAGTACTGCATCTTGCTCTAGAGTACTATTTGACCACAAGGCCGGTCAGACTAACGGATACCGCGTCTATGTGGACAGGAGCTTGTTCCGATTTGGTATTATTTATTAGGCAAAGCATAATTTACCTGCGTTGAACTCCGGGTCGTTTTCCAGGACAGTCACGGCTCCTTCCACAGCATCTACTGCGCTCCCTCCCGCCTTGAGGATTCTGTAGCCCTCGGTTGCCGCTCTGGTGATGCCCTCAAGCACCAGCTCTTTCCGGTTGGCTGAGATGTTGCTTGCTCCTCCACCATGGACTACCACCACGAGACTCACATCGACGGTGGCTAGGAATCAGGAAGAGGCAAGTGTCATTTCAAACCAGTCCAAGAGAACCGACCCAAGTGAGCAGCAGCGTCAAAGTGGTTTCGGTTTTTTTTTCTTTTTCTTTTTCCCTCCTGCTCGGTGAGAATTTTGTCGGAAAAGCCCAAAGCGACCCACGCCCCCCAGCATTCCTCCCCATGCTCTCCCACTCCGGTCCCCGGGGCAGGGTCTGGGGCATCTGTGGCTCAGAATGCGGGGTGTCAAGACTCCGAGCCCGTGCTTGTGCCACAGTGCTACCCCTCAGCCTCAGTTTCCCCGGAGAACAGCAGCCTCTATTTTGTGTTGGGTCGCCGGTACAGAGGACGCGTGCATCAGAGCTCCAGCCCTCCTCCCAGGAGTCCCTCTGTGCCTCAGTTTCCCGGGGTCCATGCTCCCTGTTCCAGTTCCCTCCACTGAGGGTCCGGGGTACCCAGAGGACTGGACTTCCCCATGTCCTTCGGACTTGAGCTCCTCGTCTTTGGTAAATCCTACATTTCTGTTCTTGTTTCCTTCCCCATACCTCGGACTGGCGGCGCCACGGAGCCGCGGGCGCACGGAGGAGTTCCTCCGTCTCGGAGGCGGGCGGTCGCCATGATGTCAAATTGGCCAAGCCACTAGCCAGCAAACCGCTTCGCCTGCAACCGCTCCGCAGGCAACGGTTCAGCGCTTGCGCTCGAGGGTGGGGGCCCCCGGGGCGCTGCTGGGTTACCGTAAACCCCGGGGGTCCCCGCGCTGCGCACCAGCCCTCGGGAACTCCAGATCCAGAGTAACACCGCTTTTCTACTCTTCGACCTCCCTAGCTGCACGCGGGACACTTCGTCTCCTTTGTCTTGAAATTATCGCATGATCTTAATTAAGTCTTGCTAGTTAGAATTCTACATTAAAACTCTTTAAGGTCCCCATCCTAATCTTTCGGAAGAGCAGAAAATAAAGGATACAACTGCCTGTAACTTGCCAGGTTCTGTTTGTTATAGGCTCCGAGAGCCCGAAAATCCCAGTTCCCTCCCCCGACACCCCCTTCCCCAAGTCCAGGGAGGGATTCCAGCTCTAAATCCTTTCATCTCTCCGTGCCCTCTTTTTGTTGACATTTTTTCTTTCTCTGCTTCCAGCATTCCCTAAAGTTGTGGCAGCAGGGGTAGAAGATCAAACACTTTGTATTCACAAAACGGACCCTAGATTCTAGTTTTGTTCTAATACTCAAAAGAGGGAGAACAGATCACCCGGACTCAGCACCTACAGGTATCTGCAGCAGTGACACATGGGAAGGATGCCCTGCTTTATTATGTGAAACAATTTTATTTGAATTATGAGTTTGTTTTTCATAACCTTTGTTTTTTAATTTTAGATTTACTGAAGCAATATTTTATTTTCATTATCAATTGCTTTGTACTGTCCATTGGCTAGATGAATTGGTGTCAAAGATAGACTTTCATTTTGCAAGACCTTCTCTTTTTAAGTTGGGGCAACCCAGGCTTATGTGTTGATGAGAGACTGGATATAGACCAGGACAAGTGCTGACCTTGTGTAAGATTTCCCAACCATTAGTTCTGTAGACCTCAATAAACTTCAGTAAAGACGGCTTCAAATGGTCAAGACCCGGTGGGTAGGTGCCAATTTTCCTAATATTTTTTTCCTGTTTCCATATTAACCAACCAGAGAAAAGCTACATCTGTTTCCCCTAACCATCCTTCCTAGTTAGTCTATCTCTAGCTTCCCTAGGCCAAGGGCAACCAAACAGGACTCAGCCGAGCCTTCCTGGTGCCCTCTAGAGACCTTTCCTACCCCTTTGCCTGCTTCTGAGTCTCTACCAAAACCCGTGACTGGTTGATTCCTTTGCAATAGCAAACTGAGTAGATTTGTCTTGTCCTCATTGGGGTGGGTTTCATTTATTGTGTTTATTTGCTGCATAAATAGAGATTTCTATTTGAAGAAAGATCTTACGCAAAGGAGATGCTGGAGAAGGAACTGGCCTTTAATTCTGGAAATCAGAGCATCAGTTATTACCCAGTCTTGGCTGCCTGCCCACCTCCTTCCACTGTATACTATGGTTTTGGCTAGTGATGTTTTCACCCCTTTCTCAGGGTGAATGTGAGACCTTAAGAGTGGCTTTGCTATAGAGAAGAGTTTGAATTTGCTCTAATTAAAAAGAAATTGAGATGGTCTCATCTATTACAGTCTGGTCGCAAACTTACTCTGTAGCTGAAGCTTGCAGGCACAATGTTTATTGTATACTGTGTAAAGATTATCCTTGTATTATTCAAAAGCTGATTTCTCTGTTCCCATATCTAGTTGCAATCGGGACTGGCATTGTAATGCTTATTCTAAATATCTCCTGCTTCAGTGTTGCATAAGCATTGCTCTCCATTTATTCTCTGATTTGTCCACAAGAGCGGATCAGCCGATGACTGAGCAGGAGAGAGAATAGCGCTGGACTTTCTCCCTTCCTTTTTTGGCAGGTTATATCTTTTCTAGGGCAAAATGCTTTCTGGTAATAGAAAAAGTATTATCTTTCAATTGAAATACATTCTTTTGAAAACTTGAAACTCAATATACCTAAGTGGATAAATATACCCATTTCTCCCTTTTTTCTTCATATATATTCAAGGTTTACATGTAATTATTTTTAGATCATAGAGGACTTTCACTTTGAATTTCAGCCTGTCTTTTGCAAGCAGCTTTTAAACTTGAATCATTTTAATTCTTCTTCTTCTTCTTCTTCTTCTTCTTTTTTTTTTTCGAGACAGGGTTTCTCTGTGTAGCCCTGGCTATCCTGGAACTCACTCTGTAGACCAGTCTGGCCTCGAACTCAGAAATTCACCTGTCTCTGCCTCCCAAGTGCTGGGATTAAAGGCGTGCATCACCACTGCCTGGATGAATTATTGTAATTCTTATATTCCTGTCCTGCTTATGGATAATCTGGACAGGCTGTGACTATTCTTGATAATATTTTAAAATATTCTCTTAGAAGCATTCTTTATTTTATGGTTGATTTCTGAGTTTGGAGGAATGTTAATCTGTGTTTTCCATTGCTTCAACAAATCACACTTTCATAAGTTCATGGCATAGTAGCCACATACGGCTTTAATTTATTTGTTTATCCTTCTGACCCTATACACGAGACCCATCTTTGTTTCACCTGAGATAAAGTTCCAATATTTACTTCCTGAAGAGGCCAATCTGGATGCCACGATTTTGGTGAAATTATTGATAACATCTGCTCCCATGTCTACTAAACCTTCAATTTCAATGCCATTTATTTGTACTTTCAACTTAGGTCTCTGATCATTTATAGCAGTTTGCCAAAATACTTGTTTTCTGGTCTCTCCTGAATTTTTGTTTTACCCACTGAAGGTGTTCTGACCTTGATTATACCCAGAGCAGTGTTGTTTTAAACAACAGGCATTAAATCTTTTAATTGTCCTATCTGCTGCTGAGAGGGAATGATTAAATCAAATTTGATATCAGGGTCTGATAGAGACCCTCTCAGGAGTGTCCTGATGGGAAAGGGTTACCCTTGTTGATCTGCATTTATTCGTCCAGTGTTGGCCTTTGCCACACCTTTTTTTTGGGGGGGGGTTGTTTTTTTTTTGTTTTTTGTTTTTTGGTTTTTCGAGACAGGGTTTCCCTGTATAGCCCTGGCTATCCTGGAACTCACTCTGTAGACCAGGCTGGCCTTGAACTCAGAAATCCACCTGCCTCTGCCTCCCAAGTGCTGGGATTAAAGGTGTGCGCCACCACCGCCCAGCCTTTTTTTGGTTTTTTTGAGACAGGGTTTCTCTGTGTAGTCCTGGCTGTCCTGGAACTTACTCTGTAGACCAGGCTGGCCTCAAACTCAGAAATCTGCCTGCCTCTGCCTCCCAAGTGCTGGGATTAAAGGCGTGTGCCACCACAGCCCGGCGCCATACCTTGTATATACTCCTGAAGGTTGAGGTCTTCTTTTTGGATTATTTCTAAAAAACCCCAAAAAACCCAAAAACCGAAACCCTAAAAACATTGTTTCTAGGAATGCTTTGCCTACAATTCCTTTTCAAATGACTCTGCCTATGACAATGAAACATCTGCAATTTTTATTTTTCTTAAGACTTTTAGAAATTACTTCCCTTATCAGATTAGCACTATAAACTTGAGATCCAGCTGTATTTCTAACCCATTCCTATATTGGTGCTGCTCTTTCCTTTAAAGATCTAATCAGTCTTTTTCATTCTGAATTAGCATTTTCAAAAGCCAAAGTTCCAATCAATATTTTTCTAACTTCTGGTTCTGATATTATTCTATTTACTGCTGAAATCAATCTTTGCAAAAAATCATTGAAGGCTTCTTTTGAGCCTTTCGTAATTTTAGTAAATGACTCATATCTCTTTCATGATTCTTCAACTTTATCCAAAGCATTTAAAGCTGCTAAACAGCATAACACCAAGTGTGATGGTTTGTATATGCTCAGCCAAGGGAGGGGCACGATTAGAAGGTGTGGCCCTGTTGGAGTAGGTGAGTCACTGTGGCTGCTATAAGACCCTCATCCTAGCTGCCTGGAAGGAAGTATTCTGCTAGCAGACTTCAGATGAAGATGTAGAACTCTTAGCTCCTCTTGCACCATGTCTGCCTAGATGCTGCTGTGTTCCCACCTTGATGATAACGGACTGAGCCTCTGAACCTGTAAGCCAGCCGCAATTAAATGTTGTTCTTATAAGGTTTGCAATGGTTCACAGCAGTAAAACCCTAACTAAGACACCAAGATATGATCATCAAATTCAAGCTGGCTTTGTAGCTCAGCATATTGACCTTTACTTATCAAGTTATCCTGGGAAATATCAATACCTTAGGCCTGATTTTGTTGCTCCATGGCCCTGGCTTCCTCTTTTCACCACGTTCACCATTATAACTAAGGACCAGCTTCCACTATTGCTGTTGTCAAATCTTTCCAGTCTTGGGGGATAATTCTGTTCTGAGTTGCCCATGAATTTAATATTTGCTTCTCATAGGATAAAAGAATACCATAGGAAAGGGCTGTTTCCTTTAATCTCCACAAATCTAATATGTCTGTAGGACTACATTTAATTTTATTATAACCTTGGAGGTACCTATCATCTCACAGATAAACTAAGGCTGGTTTTCTAACACTCTTGGGTGACCCTTTTCAGTTTCATTATTCAGTGGCATAGTAGACTCTTGTCTAAATTCCTCTGTGTCTGAGTGTATTTCTTAGGTCTTTCTGAGGCTTGTCTAAGTTTCTCCATCTGTGTCTGAGTATTTTTCTTATTCTCACTTATAAGTCTCTGTAATTTTCGTCTAAGCCTTGTATCTTCTCAATCCATTCTTTCTTTGAGTGGGTACAGAAAGTCATTATGACTATTAAGAATAAAGTATAAATACCGAAATAATAATAATCATAATTGATGAAGCCTGCTGGCTCAGCTTTAACTCTTTTGTTTTGTGCCTGTCAGCCAACCCGTATTGCTGACACAAAAGCAGCTTGACCATAGACATAGAAAAATAGTTTGGCTCAGAGCAAGGTCAAGTTGACCATATGTTCTGAGGTCTCCTCCTCTTCCTCTTCCTCTTCCTCTTCCTCTTCCTCTTCTTCTTCTTCTCCTTC